CTGTTAGCTTTCCCAGTGGTTCTCAACCTGGGGTGGGTTTTGCCCACCAGAGGACATTCAGCAATGTCTGGAGAAATTTTTAATCATAATCAGGGTGGGTAGCAGCCAGCAGGCTACAGGAAACCCTATAGTACACAGGAAACCCCTTCCCAACAAAAAGAATTCTCTGCCCTACATGCCAGTAGTGCCAAGGTTGAGAAACTGGCTTATCCAATAGGGTTGGTTTCCATTTCTTGGATATCTTTCTCTCTCCTCCATTCATTCCTGACAAAGCTGAAAATGTTACTCTACTAGAATTGCAGGGTTCCAAACGATTATTCAGCAGTAACAAAGTTTGTATGATAAACTATGGCTAGTCACAGCTAATCTTTCTTAGTTCTGTAAGGATCCTTAAAGTAGTCCTCCCTGATCCCCTGTTCCTCCACAGAAAATTTAGGGCAGTCATCTCCCCAAAGTATCTATCTTTCTTTCTTTCTTTTTTTTTTTTAAGTATCTATCTTTTGATTTTGGTTTTCTATCCTGTTTCCATATTCTAGCGGCCCGGTGCATGAAATTTGTGTGTGGGTATGGTCTCTAGGCCTGGCCTGCGATCAGGGCCATTCCCCCCTCCCCCACCACTGCCTGCAGCCAGCTCCTCCTTCCTCCCCCTGCTGCTATCCACCCCACCCCCACCCCCGTTCCCGGTTTGCCATTGGGCGATCAGAGCCTGCCGGTCAGGGGGAGGGGCCAAGAGGTGGTCAGTGCACCTCATAGTGACTGATCAAGTGGTCGTTCTGGTCGGTCCACCATTAGGGTCAATTTGCATATTACCTACCCTTTATTATATAGGATAGCACAGCCTTTCCACAGGTGACCATTTTAATGACTCTAATAGGTGGTCATTGCTCTGTTGCTCAGATAGCTCCTGGGATTGATTTTTCTAATCCTTCAGTGAGCAGCACATTTGTTTCATAACTAGATGATGTAAAGGGAGTGATTGCGCAGGTGTGTGTTGCAGAAATTATTTACCATTTTAGCCTGATGATTATCTTATGAGTATCCAAATCCGCATCTGGTGAATTCAGATTTTTTAGTCATAAAGGTGACCCTCAAAGTGTGATGAAATAATGGGTTATAATGGGAAAGTTGTTCACCTGATGGTTCTAGGAAAAAAGGGAAAGGATATCACTTATTAAATGCCTGCTTTGTGCCCTTGCTTGCTTTATCTCATTTCATCTTTACCAAAAAAAAAACACACAACCAACAAACAAGAAAAACAACCCCAGGAAACTAAAGATGATTACAGTTTATGCTTTACAGATAAGCTGAAACTTGGTGGGGTAGTGCCAAGACCACATGGCTGCATTTGTACACGTGGTATATGTAACTGCAGAGACATGCAGCTGGTGAGGGACAAGAGAAAAATGAATTTGCCTAGCAGGGCGGGTCTCTACTGGAGGAAGGAAGAAAGGAGGAGGCTTAGGAGGGGGGTTGAAATGGAAAGGAGATTTTGACTTGAGAACGGAAAAGGGTATTACTTATTAACTACAGATGATTGGCTCTAATGATTGGTGGAATGGAGCTCTCTGAATTTTTTTTTAAACTTTTTTTATTGATTTCCGAGAAGGAAGAAGGAGAGAGAGAGAGAAAAAAAAATATCAATGATGAGAATCATTGATTAGCTGCCTCCTGCATGCCCCCTATTGGGTATTGAACCCACAACTCAAGCATGTGCCCTTGACCGGAATCGAATCTAGGACTCTTCAGTCCGTAGCCTGACGCTCTAGCCACTGAGCCAAACCCGCAAGGACTCTCTAATGTTTTAACATTGTATATGTCCTCTTCATTTGAAGTAAAATAGTATCTAAGAACTTTTTCTTAATAGCTGCCTTCATATTTTATCCTTATAAAATACCAGTCAGAAAATTATAAAATAAGGCAAATATGCTAATAGCCACCACCCTAAATGTAGGCTGTCTTTATTTTATTTCTTTTAGTTTTTTGAATTGTGATAAAATTGGTATACAAGCCTATATTTATTTCAGCTGTACAATATAATTCAATATTTGTATACACTACAAAATATTCACCACTGTAAGTCTACTTATCATCCATCACAATACAATCTGTCCCCTTCACTCCTTTTGCCCTCCTCCCAACCCTTTCCCCTCCAGTCTGTTTCCCTGAAATCTATGCTGTGTGTTTTTGTTTGCTTATTTGTTTTTTTAAGATTCCACAAATGAGTGAAATCCTATGGTACTTGTCTTTCTTTGTCTGATTTATTTCACTTAGCATGGTACCCTGTGTCCCTCCATGTCGTTGTAGATGGCACGATTTCTGTCTTTATATATATATATATTGATTTCCGAGAGAGGAAGAGAGAAGGGGAGAGAGACAGAAACATCAAAGATGAGAGAGAATCATTGATTGGCTGCCTCTTGCACTCCCCCTACTGTGAGTCTAGGCCACAATCTGGGCATGTGCCCTGACCAGGAATTGAACCGTGATCTTCTGGTTCATGGGTCAATGCTCACTCACTGAGCCACACCAGCTGGGCAAGATTTCTTTCTTTGTTATGCTGAATAATTCTGTGTACCGCATCTTTATCCTTTCATCTAGGTTGCTTCCATATCTTGGCTATTGTAAATAATGCTGCAATGAACACGGGTGCAATATATCTTTTTGAATTAGTGTTAGTATTCTTGGGATAATTACCCAGAAGTGGAGTAGGTAGGTTATATGATGGCTCTATTCTTAATTTTGAAAGAAATTGCCATATAGTTTTGCATATAGTGGCTGCACCAGTTTGCATTCCCACCAGCAGCGTATGAAGGTTCCTTTATTTCCACATCCTTTCCAATACTTATTTGTTGTCTTTTTTATAAAATCTGTTCTGACAGATGTGAGGTCACCATTATGGTTTTGGTTTTTTTGACTTCAATTTTTCCAGTAATTAGTGATGTTGAACATTTTTTACATACTGTACCTGTTGGTCACTGTTTTCATTTTAAACTTGAGAAAAAATAGAGTCTCATTGTGTTATGGTGTGTTTTTGTTTTGCTTTAAAGAAATGTGTGCTTTGAGGGCAAGAGGAAGTAAGCAATATAAAAAAAAAGCTTATCTGGCTTTAATTGACTTTTTTTTATCTTGTCAAATGGGGGTTGGATTTATGTTCTAATGGTCCTAAGCAACTCATTAAATCCTTAAACAGGGTAAGCTGTGGGGCAGCTTAAATGATCTATTGGGAAAAATTTTTTTTTTTTTAATATGTTTTTGTTGATTTTTTTTTTTTTTTTTGACAGAGAGCAAGGGAGAGAGAAAAACATTGATGTGAGAGAACATTGATTGGCTGCCTCCTGCATGCCCCTTACTAGCACTTGGGTTGCGGGAAACGAGTTAAGTCGGCTCGCGTGAATTGCGCGTACTCCGCGGGAGCCGTCTTAAACTCGGTTCATATAGATTTGCGGTGGAGTGCGGGAAACGTGTAAACTCGGGCCGATTGTAACTGCGTATTACCAAATATTTCATTTCAATCGAACCCATACTTCAAAAGATATAGGCATTTTAACGCGCCATCTTATATTTTGGCGGGAAATTCACCCGACACCGTAGTGCTAGGATCGAGCCCACAATCTGGGCATCTGCTCTGACTGGGACTCAAACTGGAGACCTTTCAGTGCATGGGAAGATGCTCAACCGACTGAGCCATACCGGCCAGGACTATTAGGAGAAATCTTAATCAGGGAGTAATTGCTCCGTGTTGCCTAATTCTTTCCCTTCTGCTTCATGTGCACTACAAAGTAGGCAATGCATGCGAGGGTAAGCCCAGCAGTTAGTGAAAAAGAAAACGTTGTAAGCCCACTCTGCCATCTCAGCCCTGGATCAGGTCCATTATTTGGCCATAGCCTTTTTGATTTTCTAAAAAAAAATCTAAGGAATTCCTTTTCCATGAGTACTCTCAGGTTCTCCTTTGTTGAGTAGCCTTTAACCTTAGCAAATTTGTGAAATGTGAACATCATGACTTCCATGGCGTCTTCCATTTGAGATGGCATTTTGGTGAAGTCTTGGCTAGAGGCGTGCAGGACTGCTAGGCTGACTGGAACACGGGGCCAGTCAGTATTGTTATATGACTTGTACTACATTATAAAATTGATGCAAATCTATGCATAATACAAGTGTGACTATAGCATTGAAACTTAAAAAACAAACACTTCAATGACTGTTAGCTTCTAAAGGTAACTATCTTAACAAAGATACATGCTTATTTTAGAGAGATTTCAAATTCATAAGACTTGATGGAACTCTTCTTTTGGGTTCCACCTTCAAACCCAATTTGAGGCATGTATTTCTTAAAAGCCACGTTTCCTGTCTTACCCAAACAATCTCCTTTCTGGATCAAGAGCTATGTTGGCCAGTGTTGGCGCGAGTGCTTGAATTGTTTAATGCAATTGCTCTCAAAGGACAAGCGTTTGCTGCCATGCAAGAAGGCCATACTCTGGGACTCGAAAAATCTTTCAGAAGAGAAGTTTTGAGTAGAGGTAGCATCCCCAAAAATAGTGTCATCAGTAATTTGAGGTGTGTTTTTCTAACATTAGGCTTTAAAAAAAAGTCATTGATGATCTTCACGGACATAACCATATCTTTATGTCAGCATAGTCATTGCCTTGTGTGTGCTGTAACGATATATAAGATGAAGAGTTCTATTAATTTTGTTGAATACTTCATGGTTTGAAACTCAACAAAAGTCTCAGTATTGATGCATTTACTACTGCTCAACAAACAAATTTTGTTGCTGGTAGTACCTCAGGACAGGGTTTATTTGGCCATTTTTACATAGGAGAGGTAGGAGACTTCAGGAAGTGTGGGTGAAGTCCAAGCTGATGGAATGCAGCCCTTCTGAGATTTTAAAGAATTGTCCATCTGGGTACGTTTTACTTCACTTCTTAGCTGTGTGTTTCATTTGAAGTTAGAAGCAACCTCATTTTACCTCCCCAAAATGCTTCCTTGACTTAATCTCCCAGGTTTAAATTTTGAGAAGAATAGTTCAGTGTCCCGGTATGGAGCCTCTCAAGTTGAAGAAATGGGGAATATAATTTTAGCAATGATTTCAGAGCCTTACAGTAAGTATCGCCGTTGTAACAACGTACACCTAGAGTTTGATCCCACCCTCCTTCCCTCACCTATACTTTTGAATTTCCTTCCATGGCCTATCTCTCTAATAGCTAAAACGATGACGTGTGTGTTCTCATTTTTAGATCACAGGTTTTCAGACCCAGAGAGAGTCAATTACAAATTTGAAAGTGGCACTTGGTAAGTGTTTGAGCCTTTTGGTTTGTTTCATTCACTTTGTGACACTTAACTTCCTTTATACTTTGGCTATCCATTTTTCAAATAGCAGGTCATTCCTAGAAGAAGGTTTATCTTAAAGTGTGCTTGGGTGTCGGGATTAACATTTAATAAATATTTGCATCCTTAGTCACTATGACCTTATGTACAGCAGCATATGTTTGTGTCTGTGATTATTGTATAGCCTCTCTGAACTATCCATTCTCTCGCTGGAAAACTCCCAAAGGGGAAAATCATAGGCTTTACAAGAGTTCACAAGGTCTTTCCTGAGATAATTTAAAAGTATGTTCTATCAGCTTCTACTTTAAAGCAAAGGAAATAACTGGGGAGGAGTATGAGGCGGTGGTATCTCTGTTTGCGATCACAGGCAGACCTATTTAAGTTTGTAAATCACTGCAGTGAATTGTGTGAGATTGCCTGGTGCCTGACATGAACAGAACCTTCTGGCATCTTTGCCCACAGAGAGACTTGGAGGCCTATGTAGTTGTAGAGAAAGTGACTCACTAGGAAGATGTCCCAGGAGTACTGAAAATATGAATGTGGGAGGAATAGAACATCAAAAGGTGTTCAAAATATATCATAGGTGGTTTGCAAATGACTCATTAAGGGGTGTGGGCACTCCCGGGCATTTCCATGAACACTCTCTGTGATGGCTCCCCTGTTTGATAGAGGAGATATTTTAATGGCAGACTTGTGACCGTGCACACACGTTCCTGTCGTGGGTTAGCTGCCAGCTTTATGCACATCTTAAATTTTGCTATCAAAGTGGGTTTAAAACCCGTCGGTGTCCTGGCCAGTTCTGAGAATGAATTTAAGCCTGTCCTTCTTGGCTCTGAATTGACAAGCCATCCGGATATTGGGAGAACTCTGCTTTCTCAGAACCGATCCTGGGCCCTTTCGAGTGTATGGCAGGCAAGCAGCAACTCAGCTGATGGATGGATTGCAGGCGGAGCTAGCTGTGTTGGATCTGCACAGCCAGTTATCTTTCTATAGTGAACCACCTAGACATAACTTTAAGTTGTGCCCAGATAATCTTTGATTTTACACGGTAAATTAGGCAAGATTAAAAGTTTGTCCACACTCCAAAAGAATAACACTTCATGTGTGAATAGGCAAATTGTCTTACAGGGGGTAAGAGGTCAGACGCCCCAGCATTAGTCATGCAACCTGAGGTTTTGCTTGATCCACAGCAGCAAGATGGAACTTGTTGACGACAACACGGTAGTCAGAGCCCGGGGTTTGCCATGGCAGTCTTCGGATCAAGATATTGCAAGATTTTTCAAAGGACTCAATATTGCCAAGTTGGTTTTCTTTCATCTCTATTTTTTACTTAACAATCCCAAAGGGATCATGGGTTGCCCATCATTTTTCCCCCTGACTGTATTTTTTTTTTCCTACTGCTCCCTGTTCTGATCTTTCTAAAGGGGAGGCGCAGCACTCTGCCTGAATGCCCAGGGTCGGAGGAATGGAGAGGCTCTGGTTAGATTTGTGAGCGAGGAGCACAGAGACCTCGCACTGCAGAGGCACAAACATCACATGGGGACTCGGTACATAGAGGTACGTCCTCACAGCCTGAGACCCTGACATCTTGAGTGCAAAACATGAGGAGGCTCAGAAACCATATCTTCATTTCCCTTTTCTTTTCTTAGGTTTACAAAGCAACAGGTGAAGATTTTCTTAAAATTGCTGGTGGTGAGTGCCTTTTATAAAATGTGGCTAGAATAAGAATCTGAAACTTTGACCTATATGCCAAGGTTAGATAAATAGTGTCTTGAATAGTTTTTAGTTCCCAATGAAACATAGAAGTTAATTTTTTTTAATAGGAGGAAGAAAATATCCAATAGTATCAGTAAGTGTAATGCATAACTCTTGCCCTAAGGCTTGAGTCAACCAACTATAGTTAAATAGCCATTAAAAGTAGGATTACACAAAGTGAACGGGTCATATAAAGTTCACGTTCAAAGGGAAAGAGTAGTTCTTAAAAGAAATGAGGTAGTCTGAAAACTACTTTTAAACAGCCAAGTAGAATACCTGGAATTGTTGCATATCTGCTGCTAGTTTTTCTCTAAATTTCCTTAATTCACCAATGGCCACGACTATGGTAGCGTTTTGGCATCTGGTATTTTAGGATACATGGCGTAAGTCTTTCTCCAATTCGTGGGTGATTTGCAACTTTAAAACCTAAAAATAACAGATGCATAAAAAATGTCAAGTAGGACTTGCCCAACAGATTTTTTTCTGTACGTACAACTACTCTGTAAGTTTCTATTGCTCTGTTCAGATTGCTTTATAACTCCCTTGCTCCTTTTAGTATGTTGAATATCTTCCTATGTTACTCAGTTTTCTTAAATGTTCATTACTATTCAGTATTATACGTACCATACGTTTTTATTAAACATCCCTGTTGGGCATCTAGAGCTTATGTCCAACTCTTCACTCTTACGTATGTTACAGTGAATATTTTTGTATCTACGTATGTGCCACTCATTAGGATGAATGTCTAAAAGTAGGTTAGCTGAATCAAAGAATGCGGGTGGGTCTTTGAAGAGACCTTTGATACCTATTGCCAAAATATACTAGGGTAACTTTCACTTAAATACAGAGAACATTTGTATCCCTGCATTATGTAGCCCTGGTAAAAATTTTTGCAATTGTAGAACTTGTAGCAGCAGCTTCCGGTTTACACAGTTTGCTGGCATAATTCTGTTCTCGAACTTATTTCTTGAGATAAACCACGGCTTCCAAATTTAGAGCTTCAAGTTTAATAGTGTTTCCAAAGTAATGTTTGATATTGGTTGGGGACAGAGTGTGTTATGAATTGCTATGATTCTGAGGTCCTATGATAGATAAGATTGTAAGTTGCAGGTGGCAAAGTTATTAATGTTCAAGTGAATACCTAGTATTTCCTGGTATGTGAGCAGTATAAGTAAGGGAAAATATTGCTAGTGTAGAGCTTGAATGATGTGCATTTGAGTATTTGCTACATGGCCATACTATACAAAATGCTTTATGCTAGGCAGAATCTTAATGTTGAAACTAACTGCCAAGTATATTTATTATACTATTCTCTGTACTTGAGTATGTTTTAATCTTTCTTAATAAGAAGTAATCAGAAAATAATAACAAAAATCACTAAGGTACTTTATATATAATAACTTATAATTTATGAGATAGGTAATTTTACCCTCATTTTACAGATGGGGAAACTAAGTCACAGAGGTTCAATTTTTCTAAGTCCTATGTACCCTAGTAAATTGGTAAAGCCAAGATTGGACCCAGGCATTCTAGCTCCAGGACCTGTGCCCTTAACCATCATGATGATTAATTGCTTCTCCATGAGAAGAATATAGTGGCTAGACCATAATTGAATTGTCTGGTTATCCTCCTAATTGAGAAGTGTCTTATGAAAATGGTAGGGGGAAAGTTTTAAGACTGTGGGAAGAGAATTCTTTTTTCCTGGGTTGTTATTAAGAAACTCAGTTGGGAGTGTGGGTCTTCATTACAAATCCAAGACATTGCCAAGAATTTTACCATTTCAAACTTGGGTGAAGTTGATGCCTTAATCATTTCTCCCCCTGCTTCCTAATATTTGTGTTTCCTAGGTACATCCAACGAGGTAGCCCAGTTTCTCTCCAAGGAAAATCAAGTCATTGTCCGCATGCGGGGGCTCCCGTTCACAGCCACGGCTGACGAAGTGGTGGCCTTCTTTGGACAGCATTGCCCCATCACTGGGGGGAAGGAAGGCATCCTCTTTGTTACCTACCCAGATGGCAGGCCAACAGGGGATGCTTTCGTCCTCTTTGCTTGCGAGGAGTATGCACAGAACGCACTGAGGAAGCATAAGGACTTGTTGGGTAAAAGATACATTGAACTCTTCAGGAGCACAGCAGCTGAAGTTCAGCAGGTTGGTTTTTAACAGCATGTTGGTGGTTTTGCATTATTTCTATTTATTTCTGGAACCAACCCTACACTATTCATTGTTAAAATAAAATCTTACTCTGTAACGAAATGATAGCCATGGTTAGCTTGTGTACACACATTCAAAAATACCAGGTGTTTTTATATAACTGGAGTACTGCTATAGATATTCTTTTGTATTCTGTTTCAAAAGTATATATCTGGCCCGGTCGGTGTGGTTCAGTGGTTGAGCATCGACCCATGCACCAAGAGATCATTGGTTCGATTCCTGGGCAGGGCACATGCCTGGGTTGCAGGGTCAGTCTGGGTAGGGGCTGGGCAGGAGGCAGCTGATCTTTTGCTGTGTTTATTCTTTGATTTTTGTTTGTTTGTTTGTCACCTCTTAAGAGAGCAACTGTGACGGGGGTGAGTGAGGAAATTAGGACAAATTTTCAGGAGTCTCTTGATTGTTATATTTTCAGTTTATAGGATGATTAAGTGTGCAATGGTAAATTGTTCAGAAAACCCAGGGATGCCACACATGGCATTTGCACAGCATTATCAAATAGTGAGCATGTTCTAAACTAAGACAAAAATCTGCAAGAGCTTTGAATTTTGCATGGGACCAGTTTTTTTTCTCCAAAACGAACTTGATCTGATTCATTCTCAAGATAGCTAAATTTCATGTATTTAAAAGTCAAGATCCTCTGTCTTCCCAGTGTCTAAAGTTCATGTGGAAGCTAAGCGGTTATTTTTATGGTCACTAAATTATTTTTTTCAGTTTTACATTGCCGTTCTATCTTTTTGCTTTACGTATTATTTGCTTTGTAAATGTGGCATTGTATTTTAATATAATCCAGAGTCACTGTTTTACCTGTGGTTCCATTACTGGGTTATTCTCTTTATACTTCTTGGGTTTGGAGCAATGTGAAGCAATATTAAAGGGAATGTTGTACTTAAATAAAATGAAACTAATAGATTGCTACAGTAGCCATCCCAGATATATATGAAAGTGATAGACTTTAAGGATAGTTGTCCCAAGGCAGATAATGATGTGTTTGTCGAGTAGACGAGTCCTTAATCTCAGCAAATTTGTGCTGTGTGTGGTATATACCTCAGCACACATTTGCAAAAGTGGGTCTCATGCTTGCCCTGATGCAAAGCATGAAGCCCTTTCTCCGTGAGTGCGTCTCAAACTTTCATATGCTATGCATTACCTGGGGGCCTTGTTAAAATGCAGATTTATACTTAGTAGATTTGGGGTGGAGCTGAGATTATGCATTTCTCACAGGCTCCTCCCCCAGTGATGCCAGTGCTGGTCTGCAGACTGAGTCCCTTCTGTTTTGCTTTGAGTCCAGGTGCTGAATCGATTCTCCTCGGCCCCTCCTCTCATTCCACTTCCGACCCCGCCCATTATTCCAGTACTACCTCAGCAGTTTGTGCCCCCTACAAACGTTAGAGACTGTATACGCCTTCGAGGTCTTCCCTATGCAGCCACGATCGAGGACATCCTGGACTTTCTCGGGGAGTTTTCCACAGATATTCGAACTCATGGAGTTCACATGGTATTGAATCACCAGGTAAGAAAGTCACTTAACTCGAAAACTGATTTGCTTATTATTATCATCAAAGGGTCTCTCCCCATAAAAGAGTGCAAATGTTTGTCAGTGTTATAGTTAGCCTTGCAGGAAGGATGTAACTATAAATGCGAGAGGTCTTTAGGACGAACTCCAGAAAGAATGCTGTCATCATTATGGTAAATACAAATTTGGGTTTGATTCTGTCATCACGTATATCCATCCAATTCTCAGTAGCATCACATAGTACATATCAGTCTAATACAACATTTTATTGTTGCAACTACTGAGCTCTGCAACTCTGCTGTCATAGTGTGAAAGCAATCATGGACAATATGTACCCATGAGCTTGTCTGTTCAAGAGTATTTTGTATCCATAGACTGTTTAGAAAACGTGTATGTGTGTTATATATCAAATTACATTCAGTAAAGTACAAACTCAATAAAGACTAGTATCTGTACCACCTAGAATAGGATGTGGACATACTAGGCACTCAAATGTATTAATGAATTATTTCATAGAAACCTATCAAAATCCAACCAAATTCTATGGTATGCAAGTATACACTCTAAGCATATTAAAAATCATTCCTGGCTTAGTGTCCCTTAATTTTTGGTTTAAATAAAATTAATCATCTTTCTTGCTGGACAATATGCCAGTATTTTGTGCTGTCATAAGCAGGACAGAATCCTCAAAACCTATAAACCCAGTCGTCCTAATTAAAAATTTTGCAACTCGTTACTAAAAGCAAAGCTGTATTAATCTTTGAAAATGAGATGTTTCTGATCAATGATGGGTTGAATATAGGTTTGTATTGGAAATACCAACATTTTTCTAAACTGCTAGTGTTCCACTTTCTCTTTTCACATGGAGATTTGGTCATATTTGAAACCATAATCCTGCCTCACTGGGAAGTGCATGTCACTGGGTACAGGCAATCAGAAACTCCTGAACCCCTGCTTGGGTTTCCACACCAGCACATGCTAGGTCCCCTCTCAGCGTGCCTCACTGGTGAGAGTCCTTTTGAAGAAAATTCCCCACAATTGCCCATAAATCCTCACCAGGGATTGGTTTGGTTTTTCTTTGAGTCACCATTTCTAATAACCTAGGGGCTATTATTACTTTTTGACTAATAACAGTAGACAGATTGGCCTCTCATTGACCCACATCACCTATTGTGATTGCACTTGAGAGAAATGCTTCTTAGATGATGGACAAGCTGCCTCAAAGATGTTAGGTTTCCCTCTTGGACTGGGTTTCCCTGGTATCCCTGATTTCCCTGGTTTGGCAACTCGTATGGTAACTTGCATGGTAATCATTTGCACTAAATAGTCCCTGAGAGACTTTTAAAGAAATCCGTAACTATGAAAGAATTCCTATAAGCTGATTGTATCTTGTTCTCCCCCCCATAAAATGTCCATGCTAAATATAACTAAGGCATTCCAGTTCTGTGGAACACATCTAACAGCTTGGTTCTAAATAGGAGATTTTTAGCAAGCTATTTGTCACAGAGAAAATTACTATCAGCACCTGTTAGACTAAGATTTAAGATGGAGATGCATGGGCAGAGGCGAGAGAAGGGCTTCCAGACAAGGCTGGTAGCACTGCTGTCCCCATCCTGAACTGTGCTTGGCCACTGCCCATTTCCTGTCTCCCTTCCTTGCCCCAGGCCACATTCCAACCCAGGCTGCAGGGAGAAGGGAAAGGGATGTTGCAGGTCAGTGATGGACAGAACTGAGAGCCGAAAGAGAACACTCGTTCATCCAGTTTCTTGTACGCGTTCTATTATCAGCTTTTCTCAATCAAACATTATAATTGGATTTTTCAGAAGTGTAAGACCCAATACCAATACACAATCCTATACTTTGAAACCACAGTCACAAGGAGACCTCGTCAACCCTTTGTAAATCTGAGAACTAATGGAAACCAAGAAGGATCACTTTCTCCCATGAACCCTCAAAACTGTTTCTTCCGTGTTTTTGCGGGCCATTCTGGTCATTGGGGGATGAAACGCCAGTCAGATTTCAGTACAGCACACTGTCACCCCGGTTTTGTGCCTACCGTGTTTGTGCTGTACAGCACACTGTCACCCCGGTTTTGTGCCTACCGTGTTTGTGCTGTGGGTGATTGTCACTTTGCATGTTTGTTCTTCCCCCGCACGCTCAGGGCCGCCCATCAGGAGATGCCTTTATCCAGATGAAGTCTGCGGACAGAGCATATTTGGCTGCACAGAAGTGTCATAAAAAAACCATGAAGGACAGATATGTTGAAGTCTTTCAGTGTTCAGCTGAGGAGATGAACTTTGTGTTAATGGGGGGCACTTTAAATCGAAATGGCTTATCCCCGCCGCCATGTAAGTTACCATGTAAGTTTTTCTTGGGTCTTGGCGCTCTTCTACGCTATATGCTGGTAGGTGCTTAAGCTGCTTTCTGTGTTCCTGGTTCTTTCTGAGGCAGGCAAGGTGGTTACGTAGGCTTTCCCATCTGCAATCGGTAGTATCTGGGAATCATTGAAGACCCTGGTTGCGGACACCCCCATCATTAGAGATGCTACAAATACCTCCTTTCCAATTATATTCTCGCTTTTCCAGTGATAAGCCCTTGATTTCTGAAGCTTAGTGTGCTCAAGATAAGCACTGACTCTGGGAGGCAACCTGGCTATTGTAGATATTTTAATACGCATTTAAAGGTAAAATAAGTATGGCTGGATCTTTATTTTTTTCTCCTGTAACCCAGGAAGCTTTCTGTAGAAGGGTCATTGGATGCCCATTTTGCATTTCTAAGTTACTGAGCATTAAGTATTTTTGGGTAGGATAACCTGGGGAGCATTTCTCTTGCTCTGCAGGATATCTGGAATGAGCAAGTTAGTAAAAAAATATATATATATAAATGCGTAAATAAATTAGCCAAAGTTTCCATTGGATCGCAGGATCAGTGCTTAATTTCAAGACATGCTCTTGCGCATTGGCCCCTGGGTGCAAGCCCTCTGGAATCCCGTTTGAGAGGAATAAGCCCTTTAGTCTGAAGACCAAGTTCTGGTTAGTCACGAGTGTTAAAACTTGAATCTTTGGACAGTTTTCACTTTTGAATAAAACATACCTGTCAGGAGGCATGTTGGGTATGTTTGAAGCATGTAGCACTTGGAACACAGTCCAGAGATAACGGAGACAGCAAACTGGACGATGTGCTTGATTCCAATAAGATGGGGAGTGTTAGAGAACGTTACTTTCTAATACAGAGAAATCTATATCAAGAAACCTATTTCAGTAAGTGTTAATTCAGAGAATATTCAGTGGGGCTTAATCCTTTTTTTCCCCCTTGGAATTCCTAAATGCTAATATTCCATTTATCTGCTGCTTGCTGTTGGTGAATATCTAAGAGTTGATCTAATGAGCATCAAGTTTTAAAAGTTTATGATTGGGTTTAAGTAGTTATATATATATATTTAAAATATGTTTTTATTGATTTCAGAGGGGAAGGGAGAGGGAGAGAGAGAGAGAAACATCAATGATGAGAGAGAATCATTGATTGGCTGCCTCCTGCCCGCCCCACACTGGAGACCAAGCCTGCAACCCAAGCATGTGCCCTTGACCAGAATCGAACCCGGGCCCCTTCAGTCCGCAGGCCAATGCTCTATCCACTGAGCCATACCAGCTAGGCTAAGTAGTTATCTTAAAGTAATCTTAGTCACATGTATTCTGTCCATAAGCCTCTGATTATGTCAGTAACTTTTACAATTTCTCTTAGTGATAATCTATCGAGCATTATGAGATAAGGGAATTTCTCCTTCATGTGTAACCCAAATTCTGCTGTGATATCATTTTATTTCTCTCTTCCTGGTGCAAAACTGGTCATTACACTTTCTTCATAAAACTTTTCATTTCTTCCCTTTCTCCCTCACAAGCCCTAAAATAATAAACATGATAAATTTTTACTATTAATACTTTCCCAAAATTTTAACTAAAATTTGGCCATTTGCCATTTTAGTGAAAGAGTTCGCTTATTTTTTAGTTTAAGTCAGAATTCCAGTTTGTGCTAATATTATGCCTGTTCTACTGGACTGTTCTTTTCCTGCCGACTCACTTTAGGTGATTGCCTATTTATACAACAACCAAAAAATTTACAGAAATTGCATTGTTTTTTATATAATCTCAAGGACTAATACAGTTAAAATAGTGATTAGTTATGACTCACTGAGGAGTTCCTTACTGAATTTGGGAAAGAAGTGCTGCTAAAGTATCATTGTTTTAAAGTTGTAAACTTTAATTTGTTTATAAAAATTTTTTTCAAAAAGTTGAGCATTTTAATTTCACCTCCACTTTTGTAGTCTATGAAAGTATACTCCTTATTCTCTTTTAGGAATATGAGAATAGCTGTCCTTTCATTTGAGGAATACCCAAATCTGAGTAGACTAATATGTTTAGTTATTAAAAATTACTACTTTTCTTTGTTTTAAGGCAGAAAGACTTATACCTACTATATATCTATACCTATCTGTCTTCTTGGTTTGAGACACTGTCATTAATGAATTGCTTGATAGTTTTGAAAGCAGGAAATACAGGCTTTATAATTTCTTTTATGACTGGTGCCTTAACTTGTCTTGATTGCCCTTTTAAGGCCAGGAATCATAATTTTAAAATTCATCTACATGTAGCTCGATTTTCAGTGAGTATGACGAGGTATCCAAAAGGTGAATACAAGGTCGATATGTGTACCCGTATGCAGCTGACCGCCCTACTCCTCTCCATACACATGTAGAAACACACAAGACGTGCAGAAGACGGGAGAGATTTTCATGTGAAAAAGTTATCCCTTATGCCTCTGATATTTGCAAAATAGAATAGGTTGTTCCAGGTGTGCAAATTACAGTTAGGAACCCTGCCCTAGCCGGTTTGGCTCAGTGGATAGAACATCCGCCTGAGGACTGAAGGGTCCCTGGTTCGAGTCCAGTCAAGGGCATGTGTCTCAGTTGCAGGCTCGACCCCCAGCCCTGGTTAGGTGACCTGTACTGCGGTAGGTGACCAGTTGGCGTGTCTCAGTCTCTCCCCCTCCCTTCCACTTTCTTTACAAATCAATGGAAAAATATCCTCGTGAGGATTCACAAAAAAACAAAGTTAGGAACCCTAAATTCAGGCAACCTCTCAGTTACCTCATTGTTGGGTACAGATGGCCTGGATAGTGTTCATCTCATTTAGTGAGTTGGGGAACCAGAAAACAAAGGAATTTCATTCTTTCTATTTTCTATATAATCTGAGTATACAATTTACCGCTGAGTCTCAGGAAGACTTACACTTCTATTTCTCAGGGCTAATTCCCAGGTTGGATTAGAGAGAGAAGAAGAAGAAGAAGAAGGGAGAGGGATAGACAGATAGAAACTTTGATGAGAGAGAAACATTAATTGATTGGCTGCCTCCTGCACGTCCCCTATCAGGGATTGAGGCCACAAACCAGGCATGTGCCCTGACCAGGAATCCATCTGTGACTTTGTTCATAGGGTGACTGACGCTTAACCCCTGAGCCACATTGCCTGTGCCCAAGTTGTTGTTTATTTTTTATTTTTTTACAAGTTTGAAGGTGTAGATTAGCTTCAAATCCCATCATCTGGGTTACCTTTAGGTGGAAATAATGCAAAGTTAATCCAGCTTTTAGTTGGAAATTATACTAAATGTCAGCCCTATGTTTCTTTTCTCAAAGTTTTTGTGGTAACTGGCACTCAATAGTAAAGGGGGAAAAATCACATGTCAAGAAATGGTTGAGCTGATGTTTGATGATACTGGTTTTTTCCAACTTTTAGACCAAGAACGGTTCTGTAGGTTGATGGAGTGTGAGAATTGAGATTACTTCTAAGTTTTGTCTGTATAACCAAAGGAAGTTGCATGGGGTAGTATAAAGATTTGCTCTCTTTAAAGGAATATATATATGCAATAGTAACCTTATGGCTTGAGTGCTAAGCACACATGCGTCAGCTGTTAAAAATGTCTCAAAGTGTCTCTCTCTGCTTATGTAGGCCTGTCTCCTCCTTCCTACACATTTCCAGCTCCTGCAGCTGTGATTCCTACGGAAGCGGCCATTTATCAGCCCTCTCTGCTTTTGAATCCACGAGCACTGCAGCCCTCCACAGCATACTACCCAGCGGGCACCCAGCTCTTCATGAACTACACAGCCTACTATCCCAGGTAAGGCTCTGGTGGAAGTGGAAACGAGGGACAGAAACAAATGGCTCCTTTGATGGCCGGTGCCTGAGTTTACAAAAGACTATTGTCTGCCACGTGGAAGGTTACCATGGTAGGCAGTAGCTTCTGGTCATCTCTGAGCAAGAAGGTCGTTTCAAGACAAAGCAAAACAAGTTGTGTGTGTTTTTTTAAACCATATATTAACATCTTTTAGGCTATTTTTGTATGCAACTTTGCCGTTTTTCTTTCTCCTCTCTTAGGGCCCTAAGTGAGGGGCACTGTGATCATTGCAATAGGGTGGCAATATCTTCTGAATGAATTTAAAAAAAAGCAAACACCAAGAAAATCCTTAAACACAACAATTGTATTTTTAAATAGCATTAATTCCTGTTACCCCACAATAAATAAAAACAGTTCTTTTAAATTGTACACAACTTGTATTCCTTCACCCCTAAGTCTTCACCAACAAGTCCAAAATGAGACTTATTTAGAACTTTCTTAGAATCAAATTTTTTATTTTTTTTTTCCTGGATTCTAGGGGAAAATTTTTTTAAAATTATAGTTGATATACAATATTATTCATTTCTTATGTACACCATAGTGATGAGACATTTATACAACTTACAAAGTGATCATCCCGATATGTCTAGTACCCACCTGATAAATACGTAATTAGTACAATTTTATTGACTGTATTATAACTGCCAACATGTACTTCCTAATTCCTTCATATTTTTCACCCCCCCTTCAAACCTCCTCCCATCTGGTAACATCAATTTGTTCTCTGTATCTGTGAGTTAGTTTTGGTTTTGTTTGACCATTTATTTTGTTTTTTAGATTCCACATATAAATGAAATCATGCCATACTTGTCTTTGTCTAACTTATTTCACTTAGCATGGCATAATTTCAACCATCCATGCTATTATAAGTGGCAAGGTATTTCCTTTCTATGGTCAAGTACTATTTTATTGTATATATGAACCGCAACTTTTTTATCTAGTTGTCTATTGATGGGCATTTGGGTTACTTCCATATCGTGGCTCTTGTAAATAATGCTGCAGTGAACCTAGGGGTGCATATATCTTTTTTAATTAGTGTTTTTCTTTTCTTTGGATAAATATCCAGAAGTGGAATTGCTTGGGTATATGGTAGCTCTATTTTTAATATTTTGAAGAACCTCCATACTGTTTTCCTTAGTGATACCACCAACTTGTAATCCCACCCACAATTCATGAGGGTTCCTTTTTCTCCAAATTCTCATCAACACTTGTTGCTTGTTGGTTTATTGATAATAACCATTCTCATAGATGTGAGGTGATGACCGATGGTGGTTTTAATTTGTATTTACCTGCTGGTTAGTGATGGTGAGCATCTTTTCATATATCTATTCGCCATCGGTATGTCCTCTTTGGAGAAATGTTTGTTCAGGTCGTCTGTCCATTTTTTAAAATATATTTTTTTATTGATTTTATAGAGGAAGGGAGAGGGAGAGATAGAGAAACATCAATGATGAGGGAGAGTCATCCCCCCCCAACACACACACTCGGGATTGAGCCCAGAACCTGGGCATGTACCCTGATTGGGAATTGAATCATGACCTCCAGGTTCATAGGTCGATGATCAACCACTGAGTCACACCAGCAAGGCTGTCCCATTTTTTAATTGGATTGTTTGTTTTTGATGTTGAGTTATATGAGTTCTTTATAATGTTTTTTAAATATAAATTTTGGATAGTAACCCTTTATTAAATGTATCATTGGTGAATATCTTCATTCAGTAGATTATCTTTTTGTTTTGTTGCTGGTTTCCTTCCTTGTGCAAAAGCTCTTTAGTTTGATGTATTCCCAGTTTTTTCTTCTGTTCCCTTTCCCTGGGAGACATATCCCAAAAAATATTGCTATGAGGGGTGAGGGATGTTATAGATTTTCCTGCATATGTTTTCTTCTAGGAGTGTTATGGTTTCAGGTATTATATTTAAATCTTTAATCCATTTTGAGTTTATTCTTGGATATGACGTAAGAAAGTGTTTCAGTTCCTCTTTTTTGTTTGTATCTGTCTAGTTTTCCCAACACCATTTATTGAAGAGACTGCTTTTATCATGTCATTCAGTACTCGTTTTATATATTTAGGTCCTTTTGGTACTCCTTTGATGTGAATGTTGGCACACTTGATGTTTTCCCCAAAGTCCCTTAAATTATTTTCATTATGTAAATTCTTCCTTTTTCTCTTTTGATATTCCAATTGGGTGTTTTCCTCTACCTTATATTATTGATCACTGGTACTATTGTTGTTTTATTTTAATTATTATTGATTTGAGAGAGAGATAAACATTGATTTGTTGTATGCATTCTTATATGTACTCTGACTAGGGATCAAAAAAGCAACCTTGGTGTATTGGGATGATCCATTATGTTTAATTCTTTTATAGAGTTTTTAGGGTCCCTGCCAGGTCTAATTGCCCATGATTCTCACTTGAATACATAAGGACCTCTCATTCTTAATTTTCTTTTTATAAAATTTATTAAAAATCTTTGTTAATCCAATAACCAGTTCAATTTATTAAAATAAAAATTTACTTTAACAAGCAATATTGCTCAAACTTTAAAAACTTTTATCAGGTCTTTTTTTTTTCTTCCCCAGCTATTTAGTCTAAATGTTTTGAGTACATCCACCAATATGTGACTTTTTAAAAAAGTGTCCTGGAACTAACACATCTGATTCCTACAGTTGCTATGTTGCATTGTATTTTTCTTTCCTCTCCATCTCTAATATTTTAGTAGGGAGGAAGAACTTTGGAATCTCAGTAGCAGTGAAGCTTGTAGCCACATTATTGAAACTATTCTTTACTCTACTGGGGAAAAAAAGAATCAGGAGATAGCCATGATAATTGTAAGCTGGCCAGCTTTTAAAGGGTTGAAAAGACGCAGAAGCATGTGTAATTAAGTTTTCATCATTGAGTACTGTGTCAGGCACCTCTCCCAACTCCAATCTGTCACCTTCTGTGGACTCTGTGACAATCACTTGCTGGCAGTGGTTATAACAGAGGTCTTTGTTTACCTTTCTTACATCATTAGAATGTCAGGAGTGGAATGCATTGTTTCACTGCATACCTTGTGCAGTTTCTCATGCCTGCAATACATTTATTTGCAGAATATGCAGTTCCCCTATTGACTTGCTCTCTGGGCGCTATAAAAAGAAGGAATCTCTTAGAAATAATTTTCCACCACAGTAAGATGGAAAACTCTTGAATTAAAACCCCAAAAGCAGGAGGAACTGACATGTATGGCTTAATAGCTCCTGTAATTTTGGGCCCCTGACTATATGTTAATTTTTTTTTTTCCTTTACTAGTTTTAAAGTTTGTAATATCCTCATTGTTAACTCTTAAGAGTATAAAGTATAGTAAGGGAAAGGATATTCCCATTTACACACTTCACAGTCTAGATAAATCACTATTTTATTAGTTTGGTAACATACACATTTGTATGAGCTTATAAATAATGTGGCATACTTAAACCTGTGCTGCCTATTTGTTCTGTTATATATAAACTTTCCAATATGTCATGGAGTTCTTCCTATTTATCTCATTCTTCTAACTTCCACATGATGTTAATGTAATCGTAATTTAACAATTTATTTTTAGACATCTAATTTTATTTTCTCTAGTAAATAAAAGTTTCTGTTGATCTTTATGTACTTATATTTCTGTAGGACAATTTAATGATAACTTATAAAATAAAAATAATTTGTAGGAATAATAACCTATAGAAATAAAATAAGCAAATTCCCAAAACAAGATATTTTACAGTTTTGGTAGAACATCATTAATTTCTAACCTCACATGATTATTAAGGCATTTGAGGCTAATGGAAAACTTTGTTGTGTACATGTCTTTGATAAGTAGGCAAGTTTGAGATCTCACACTCTAAGCTAAAAAAGATATTAAATCAGAAGATTTGGAGTTTGTCTCTGAAAGTAACATTTTTTGTAATTCCCTCCATTTTAAAAAATGATATATGTCAGTTTGATTTCAGATTAATGCAATGTATTCATTGCTTTAAAACATCAAGATTCTAATGTATTTTGTGGATTTCTAAAAGCATGTCCCTCAAAAAAAATTAAGCATTTTTAACTTTTAATTTTACTGAGCAAACTTATTTAGTACCTCTTGAGTGTGACATTGGGACTAGTAAGATTAATAATACATGGACCCATTGGTTCCACAAATGCAAACCGGAATTCAGTGTACAATATAATGACACTAGAATGTTGTAATAGTGCAATAAAAGCAATCGTGTAATAATGAAGAAGCGCCAGGTAATTTTTGTTGATGGAAATGATTATCTCAGTTTTTATCAGTTTGGATGATATTTCTAAATGATGTAAACAAGAACTGCTGTGGGCAATTTTTTCTCTACTATCAGTGAGAATTCCTTCTAGCTTTCATGGAAGAAGTAGTCATTTGCTAGTCCAAAGACCTAATACATATAATGAGCAGTTCAGGGAATTAAAATGCAAATATACTTACAATTATTTTTAGCATTACAGAAAATTATGAAGCACAGGGAATCTCAAGAAAAAAATAATTGCCAAAAAAAACTAATAAGATTGGTTTCAATTTATAGATTTGTTTTTCTAAGGATTTTTCTTAAAATTGGGATCATGTTATTTTCAAGAATAAGTTTAAAAATCTGTAAATATGCAAATAAATGTAAGTTGCGAATACCTATTACCCAGATGTATCAATATTTTGCCAATTTTGTTTCATCTATTAACACTGTTTGCCTTACTACCAGAACACTTCAAAAGCTAGGGATTGCTTCTTTCTATTGCTATTTATGATGTGTCAAATATATTTTTAAATATAATGCTTTAAGAGTGAGTTAAGCACCTTACTCTTAAAGCATTAACACTCTAGTTAAAAGAAATAGAACTTGACTAAAATACATGTGCCAACCTTGATAAAGAAAATTACCCTGCCATGGCTGGTGTGGCACAGTTGTAGTGACCTCCTGTATGCTGAAAGGTCGCAGGTTCAATTCCCTGGTTGGGGCATGTGTGAGAGGCAAACAATCCATATTGATGTCTCTCTCTCCCCCCTTCTCCCCCCACCCCCAACCCCCCCAAAAAACCAACAAATAAAAAATAAAATAAATAAAAAACATTAAAAATAAAATAACCCTATTTTGCATCTACTGACCTATTTAAGCATTTCCTTGGTATATCTTTAAGGGACTACACCAGGGGTGGGCAAACTTTTTGACTCGAGGGCCACAATGGGTTCTTAAACTGGACCGGAGGGCCGGAACAAAAGCATGGATGGAGTGTTTGTGTGAACTAATATAAATTCAAAGTAAACATCATTACATAAAAGGGTACGGTCTTTTTTTTTTTTAGTTTTATTCATTTCAAACGGGCTGGATCCGGCCCGCGGGCCGTAGTTTGCCCACGGCTGGACTACACTGAAGTAGGTCCAATGGAAGAACTGACATTTGTATATGAATTTTACTTAATAATATAGGCTGATTTGTGATTTTCTTTATGAGTTAAGTAGTTTCTTACACTACCTCTTTTAAAAAATTTTTTCACTGAAAGCAAAATGTTGTATTAGCAAACGTTTTCCACTTACATACAAAATAATCAATAAGGTATCTCTGGAAACATAGACAATAAATAACCAAGAAGCTGTAACAGGTTGCTTCTACAGAGTGGTTCAGATTTGTTGGGGGAAAGGGTATGATGGAGTCATATTTGTACCTTCCCTATTGTACAGTATTCCTATTCAAAAAGACATACTGCCCTAGCCAGCTTGGCTCAGTGGATAAAGCATCACCTGCGGACTGAAGGGTCCCAGGTTCGATTCCGGCCAAGGGCACGTGCCTGGGTTGCGGGCTTAATCCCCATTTGGGGGTGTGCAGGAGGCAGCCGATCAATGATTCTCTCTCATCATTGATGTTTCTCTCTCTCCTTCTCCCTTTCTCTCTGAAATCAATAAAAAAAACACATTTTTTAAAAAAAGACAAAACTTTATTTTTTAAATGACCAAACATTTTTTCAAAAGTAACTTGTGAATGGACATTGTCTTCTGCTGCTTTGCCAAGAAGCACAAATTCCCATGTATCACAGTGTGTTTTGCTTGTTTCTTCGTTCTGTTATTTAGCATTATATTACTTTTTAAAATGCATTTTTTTAAACATGTAAGAGGATCAGTTGTGTTATGATTTTGTGCTTTCAGTCAAACAACAAGATTACTTTCAAAATAATATCGAGTGTAGGATTCAGTTTTCAAATTAAACATGGGGCTTGCCCCAGCCTGGTGGCTCAGTTGGTTGGAGTATTGTCCCTGACAAAAAGAGGGTTTCTGATTCGATCTCCTGTCAGGAGAGCACAGGGTCCATGATTCTCTTTCTCTCTCTCTCTTTTTCTCCCCCTTCCTCTCTCTAAAATGAGTAAAAACATATTCTTGGCTGAGGAATTTTTTTTTTTTAATGGGGCTTTCTGGAAGCTCTCCTTGCTTTGAGTAACCATGTACTTGAAACATGATAACTGTAGTGGCGGGTTATATTTTATACCCTTTAACATACCCTTTGGATTAAATTTAAGTTTAGTTACCAAACTATTTTGACAGAACATAAATTAGCTGAAATAGATTCTTGGAAGATGTCTTTAAGCATTCCGAAGTGTTTTCATATCCGTTGGTTATTTAACTTTTCTTTGAAAGGTAGATACACATGCGTTAAGAGGTGTATACAGTCATGGCGCCCCATAAGGATGTTTCAGTGAGAAGTGTCAGTGATGGATTGCATATAGAAAGGTGGATCCACAAGTCATAAGAGCGCTGAAAATTTCCTAACACCTGATAGCCATCATAACCTCATTGCAAATTCTTGTCATTGTGTTACAATTGTCTACAGCCGGGGTGGGGAACATCCAGCCCACGGACCATATAAGGTGCATGAAATCACTTGGTCTGGCCCTGCCAAGGCATTAGGAGTAAGTTAATTAAATGTTTGACCAAATATAGCAGGCCAATTTTTCAGTTGGTCATGTTGTATGGCCCTCAGATGATGTTATACATGTCCAAATGGCCCTTGGCAGAAAAAAGGTTCCCCACCCCTGATAGTATTCAGTAAAATAGCCACCTACACAGGTTGGTAGCATAGGAGCTGTATGGGAACAGAATGTTACCCCCAAATATGTCTTTGGCATTAGGATTATTTTAGCCTGATTAAGAAACAGCACACAAGCTTTGCGCAGTGGCGGTATGGTAGCCAATGAGGTTTATCCGAGGCGCGATTATTGCTAATTGTTTAAAAAAGAAAAAGAAACAGCACACAGGAAGATGCTCTGAAAAGCAAGTTGAAGTTACTCTTTGTAAAAGATATTTACGTTCGTTAGGAAAATCTCTGAGTAAGAATATCCCCTTCCTGTGAAGAAGAGAATGATTTTTATCACTAGAAACTCTTAGTGCTGAAAACAACAATCTTAAATCTGCACAACAACGTTAACCTTGTTTACTTTGCTTTTCCTGGTAACCTGTCCCCCTCCCCCCGCAACTCCCCACCCCCCCTTGTGGTAGTTAAGGTGGTGGCTTCAGCCATTCTGGGGAGTTACTCAGATCTCCTAAATCTCCCCCATGCTTACAGAAAGTATACATGTCATTAAGCTTTTTGTTTTTCTCCTGTTAATCTGTCCTTTTTTATTTTTTAATATATTTTTATTGAATTCAGAGAGGGAGGGGGGAGAGAGAAACATCAATGATGAGACAGAATCATTGATCATTTGCCTCCTGCTCCCTCCCTACTGGGGGTTGAGCCTCTTGCATGCCCCCTACTGGGGGTTGAGCCCGCAACCCAGGCACGTAACCTGTCCTGGAATCGAACTGTGACCTAGTTCATAGGACAATGCTCAATCACTGAGCCACACCAGCTAGGCTAATCTGTCTTTTAATACAGCCAAGAACCTAGGAGAGAAGAAAATTATTTTTCCTCCTCTACAAAGCAGTAAGCTATACCATTTAGGTCTGTATAAGTGCACTCACTCAATGTTCAATCAATGATGAAATTACCTAAGGATGCATTACTCAGAGTTAAGCAGCACATGACCTATAAATATAGCCTTTCAAAAGAGCTAACAAATCCAGGATCCAGATATAGTAAGCAGTCCATGAGCAGTCAGGGAATTAAATTTCCAAAGAGTACTGAAAAGTTAACCTTGCTGAAATGGTTGATTTCAGATGAAAACTTAAAGTTAGTTCAAAAATTTCCTATATAACATCCAGCCGGTGTGGGTCAGTGGTTGAGCATCTTATCTATGAATCAGGAGATCATGATTCGATACCAGTCAGGGCACATGCCTGGGTTGCGGGTTTGATCCCCAGTGGGGGACTTGCAGGAGGCAGCCAATCAGTGATTCGCTCTCATTATTGATGTTTCTATCTCTCTCCTCCCTTCCTATCTGAAATTTAAAAATTATAATGAAAAATTTTTAATTTCCTATATGAAAACAGTCACTTTCCAAATAAAAGGTCTTTATAACACTCGGGGATTTAATGAATGTTAGTCCAAAAGGATCTGTGTAGTAATTTTGTCAGGCAGTGGGAACCAGGTGTCTTTCGCAGGACTTCTCATGTTTCCTATGTTAATGTGTTGTGCCCATCCAGAGGGGAGTGAATTCTCTAATCTTTTCACTTAACCTATTTCTTTACCTGATAGAGAATGCTGTGATCCTCTCTCCTTTAGAGAAATATGGCAAGTCCTCAAATGATGAGTACTGTCATGCTATGACTTTATATTTTAGAATGCCACCCGATAACATTAATCAGTGTCACCAATGTTTAGTAATGTGTAATATTAAATAAATGAGTAAAGGGTATGTGACACTTGTTTTCGCCAGAGTGTATATTATGGGTGTCATGGGGTAGGCATCCTGGCCCCCAGTATTTTCATACACACACACACACACACACACACACACACACACACACACACCTGTTCTACACAGAATTTTGAATGACTATTAGGATACACTGAACATTATGAAATTAAATGGTATAAATTAGTATTTGGAAAATGTAGGATAGGAAGCAGTGTTTGAATAGTCTCCCAACAGAATCTCAAGCAACTAAATTAGATTGCAAACCTCAAAACTTCAAAGGAAAGGAGGTCAGACTCTGAGGGAAACAGTTTTTCTTTTTTCTCTACATTGGATTTAAAATTTTTTTTACCTACATATGTAGAAAGGACATGGGAGTACTGCAGTGGAGGAAATCTGGAACAACTTTATAATATGTGCACTTGTGTGCTAAATTCAGCGATTTCTTAACTCGTGTGGCTTGTGAAGTACTCAGCCATGGTCATAAGTACTGTCTGTGCAGCAGCAATGCTCCATGGTGCCGAACTTAAACCTTTGGTAAAGCCCCTCTCCTGATGTTTTTCTTTTCGCTTCATTTCCTCTCACCCCCACCTCAGTTCTTTGTTCAGGCAGCTCAACAAGGTTTCTGACCCAGCTTAAGTGCAGTCCCCTTGTTCATTTACATGATGTGGTACGATCTTCCAGCACTCTAGACCTTTGAATTCATTGCTGTATTGACTTGTGGAAGTGACATTATTCACACTATGTGCACAAGAGACACTGATAAATATTGACACTTGAGAATCTGAAACCTAACTAAAAATACAATGGATGTGAGTAAGGACCAAAAACAGTGACTAACAATTGAGCATAAAGATTAGGATGAGTTTCTGATACAGTCTGGCTTTGATGGACAGCTCTTATCTGTTTTTTCTTTTTTAATTTTATTGATTTCAGAGAGAGGAAGAGAGAGGGGGAGAGAGACAGAAACCTCAGTGATGAGAATCATTGTTCAGTTGCCTCCTGCACGCCACATGCTGGGGATCGAGCTTGCAACCTAGGCATGTGCCCTGACTGGGAATCGAACCATGACCTCCTGGTTCATAGGTGGACACTCAACCACTGAGCCACGCTGGCCAAAAAAAACACATATTCTTTTTTTCAATGTTTGGTAAAATTCACCTGTGAAGCAATCTCTCCCAGGTGACTCTAATAGGCAAACAAGTTGAGGATCATCGCTTTAGAAACTGAAGTGGTTAAAGGCAGCTTGATGTCAAGTAATGCTTTCAGGCTCTCCCATATTTTCAAAATAGTGAAATAGAATGAGGGTTATGGAAATAGCAAAAGTGAAATAACTAATTATTGCATTCTGTGGTTTATGGAATAACTTGGTATGTTCAATCATTGAATCTGCAGAACAATTCTGGGAAACTTGAGAGGTGCTATCATCCCCATCTACCAAATGATGTAATTGAAGTTAAAAGAAATTAAGTGACTTGCTCAGGGCTACTGTGCCAATAAAAAAAAATGGAGTCTGGAACTGGATGCACACCTGGCATCATTCCTATTAACCATCAGTTAGGATTATGTCGGCTACAGAATCTCAAAGATTTGTAGTCTCTTTCATTTTTGTGTTTGCTTGTCTTTGAAATGGGATAATCACCTACTTAGAAAGATTTATGAAGGTTAATAATCTAAAACTGTGGGTCTTTATTGCTCTTTAAGCTAATAACTTATTTGAAAGTTTTCCCAATATTTTCAGTTACGGGTTTCTGGCCACTGATTGTGCTGGAAAACCTATTGGGTGGTGAATAGGATGAAACTTACTTTATAATATGGTAATTACTTAAGCTCCCATATAAAGAAGAATTAGGTATTCACTTGGTGTGTGCTCCTTGGAGGTGATTGCTGTAGGTGTTCCAAGAGGGACTCGTGCATCAGCTTTCCCGTTGTGTTAATGGTGGCTGATTTTAATTTGCTGTGAATCTTTTCCAATTTACCCGCCACCTCCTCCTCTTGCTTTTTAGTCAAGTTGGAAGGGATAAAAATATTTTTGTATTATTGTGCTCCACTTACTATGCTGTCCCTTTGCTTGTGGGCATGGGTAAAACAGTCTGTTCCTTGGTGAAATCCCTTCAAATGCTTTCTTTCGGTGTCTGTGGCGATGGCTCCCATTAGTCTTTCGTATTCATGCCTTAGTATTCCTGATGGCGAGCCAGTTAATCATCAATGAGCTGGGCTGTGCAAGTGGTGCTTTGTGGTTGAGTGACCTGAAAGGCTTAATTCTCTCCTTCCTGTCCCTCTAAGAATCTCAGCGAGAACTGAATCTTTGAGGAAGCCCTGCACTTAACTCTGCATTAACCCTTCTCCCTTTTAACTTTAGGCTTTTCTGGAAATGTGGTGTTCTTACCTGGCTTGGGAGTGATACCTCGGATGATTCTGAGATCACCCTGAGAGAGTCTGTTACCTTAAGTAACTAATGTTTGTAGAGTAAATATTCGACGTTGTCTATTCCTATTGGTTCACTGTACTTTCTCTTCCTTTAGCCCCCCAGGTTCGCCCAATAATCTTGGCTACTTCCCTACAGCTGCTAATCTTAGCGGTGTCCCACCACAGCCTGGCACGGTGGTCAGAATGCAGGGCCTGGCCTACAATACTGGAGTTAAGGAAATTCTTAACTTCTTCCAAGGTTACCAGGTCAGTAGCTTGAAGAAGAAAACTATTCAGTGCCCTTAATACTTAAGTTGATTTGCCTAAAGAATGCAGCCAGGGAAGAAACCAATTCTCTGAAACTCATGTGTGTACAAGCGCTACTAGATGGCTTACGGAGGCAGAAAGAACCCCAGTCAGTCAGTCAGGAGGACCGGTGTGAGTGCTAACTTCTAGCTCATCCCTTTGACGAGATCAGGGCTTTTTCCACGCTATGTTTATTACTTCTATTTAATCTGTTGGTGCTTTTTTTGGAAAAGCTGTTTAGGGCACATAGCAATGTGGGTCTTTCCATCTAGAATAGGACTGGCTAAAGAGTTTTCCTCAAGTCAAATTCTGTTTTCTTTTTTATAATCCTCACCTGAAGATATATCGTTTATTTGTTCATTTCTTTGTTTTTATTGGAGAGAGAGGAGAGAGAGAATCATGGATCGGTCCCCTCCTTCTGGGGATTGAACCTGCAACCTTTTGGTGTACAGGAGGACACTATAACCAGCTGAGCCACCTGGCGGGGCCAAAGTCAAATTCTTGACTAACAAAAAAATACTTAAATGTGGTGTTGAAATTGAATATTTACAAAGTTGTCAGAGGGCTCTATGCCTATCCTGAAGGAAAAAACAAACAAACCTCAATGAATCTTTAGTTAAGAACTCCTTAAAATGAGCTATAGGATATTCATTGAGCCTTTTATGTAATGATCCACAATTAATTCTTGTGAAACTGGTATTACTCTTGTCACTCTACCACTGCCTGTGTCCATCAGTTGTTTTCCGACTTCAGATAAAAAATGAGATTTTTCTTGGTAAGCTCTCTTTAACAATGAGCAAAATCCCCTCATTGCCATCTCATCTGAGCAGACACCTTTCCTTAAATCACATAATACCTAGAATCGAACTCTTCTTTCTTTCAATAACTAAAAATCATTATCATACAGCTTTTTAATTGCATTAATAGCAAGAATTGTCTTTCTTCTTGGAGCTGAACTTGGCTTGAGTCTTTACAAGTTGGGAAGCCTTTATAGCAGCGGTTCTCAGCCTGTGGGTCGCGACCCCTTTGGCGGTCGAACGACCCTTTCGCAGGGGTCGCCTAAGACCATCCTTCATATCAGATATTTACATTACGATTCATAACAGTAGCAACATTACAGTTATGAAGTAGCAACGAAAATAATTTTATTGTTGGGTCACAACCTGAGGAACTGTATTTAAAGGGCCAGAAGGTTGAGAACCAGTGCTTTATAGGCATAATTGTCAAATCCTAAAATAGCCCTTAGTCATTTATAGTACATTTTAATGCTTGTGCCCACAGAAGCTGTTTTCACTATTAGAATGGACTTACAAGCTTGGTGTTCATGAATCATGGAAGATTGTGGAGCTTAACTAAATTTTGTGGGTGGTTTTTTTTTTCCAGATAGCAGTAGATACTTTGCTTTTCCCCTAAACAATTAAGCTGCCTAACAGAAGAAGCCCTTGCAGAGATGACTCAGTAGTTGAGCTTCAACCTATGAACCAGGAGGTCAGGGATTGATCCCCTGCAGGGGGGCGTGCAGGAGGCAGCCGATCAATGATTCTCTCTCATCACTGATGTTTCTATCTCTCTCTTCCCCTCTTCCTTCCTCTCTGAAATTAATAAAAATATCTATATATTTTTTAAAAGTTACTTTCTAAGCTTCATATCTGAGTCATTAGGTTATGAAAAGAATAGAGAATTTTATCAAAGGTTATTGAAAGGTTGCTTAGCCCTGGCTGGTGGTGCTCAATGGTTAGAGCTTCAGCCCACGCACCAAAAGGTCTCGCGATCGGTTCCCAGTCAAGGGCAAGTACCTGGGTTGCAGGTTCATTCCCAGGCCGCAGTCAAGGCGTGTGCAGGAGGCAACCAATCCATGTCTCTTTCTCTCTCTCTATCTTTCTCTTTTCCCATTCCCTTCGTTCCATCTAAAAGCAATGGAAAATCCTCAGATAAAAAGTAAAAAAAAGAAAAGTTTGCTTAATCTCATGGAGTAAACATTTGAGTTTTGTAATTTCCCCCATTGTTTTTCAATTCTAGAAAGTATAAGCAAAGTTTTAGGTTTTAGTGGTCAGCTGAATTAATTTGTTTTTTGTTTTGACTGATCGACTTTTACATTCACACTGAATAGAATTAAGCAGTCGTACACATAAGTTGGTTTGAGATTAAGCAAAATTGCTGCTATTATGAAGTGTGCAATGGCTGGCTTTTGTGGGTATTTATTCTACCACAAATAAGTAATAATCATTTTTAGATTTGTGGCTAAAATATTGGTGTGCTGAGTTGTGATAAAATAACTTCAGTCTGCAGCAGTTTATCATCAAGATTGGGGTAGAGTTATCTGATAACAAAAGCAGGAAGGTTGTGCAAAATGATTTCATCTCTAGGCTTTTGGCCTTCCATTTCTGAAGTGCCTGGAATTTATGACCTGGTCCAATGAATTAGGAGTATGTAGGGACCTCGATTTTTCAATTCAGTATATCAAATTATTGCAATGTTTTCCTTCAGTAATTTGAGCTTTAAGATAGTTACAATGCATCATTCAAAATCTTTTCTATCCTAAATTCTTATCACTCTCACATAAAAGCTCATATTTTCTACTTTCTCTAAGACTTCATACTTCTTTTTAAATAAATTATTTTTATCTCAGTTATATTAAGAACAGAAAATAACAGCCATGCTTTTCAGCAGCTGTGAAGCTTGGGAGATCTGTCCGGGCCGAGGATATAGGATCTCATTATCCTCCCAGCGATTTGACCCTCCTATGAAGGCCCTCCATAAAAGAGACTGATCCTAAAAAAGAAAATAACACCCACTAGCTGTGGTATTCCAGATTCTTTAGATACCATTTTGTCACAAGACCAATCAATCAGAGGAGGACTTTTTAAATCTTTACTTACAGTGTATTTATTGCTGGTTGCTGATTTAATAGTTTTTCATTTGATTTCTGGTTATTTAGCATTTGTTTTATGTAATTATATAATTTACTTATATTAAGCAAATACTTGGTAATAATTGGTTGAGAGAATGAAATCTCTCCATAGTTTAATTCTGGCTTTTAAAAATACATATATCTTGCCCGGCCGGTGTTGTTCAGTGGTTGAGTTGTCGACCCTTAAACCAAGAGGTCTCTGGTTTTATTCCCGGCCAGGGCACATGCCCAGGTTTCGGTTGTGGGCTCAATCCCCGGTGGGGGCTGTGCAGCTGATCAATGTTTCTCTCTCATTGATGTTTCTCTCTATCACGCTCCCTTCCTCTCTCTAAAATCAGTAAAAATATTTTTTGAGCCCTAGCCTGTGTCGCTCAGTGGATAGAGCACTGGCCTGGATACTGAAGGGTCCCAGGTTCGATTCTGGCCAAGGGCACATGCCCAGGTTGCGGGCTCAATCCCCGGTAGGGGGCATACGTGCAGGAGGCAGCCAATCAATGATTCTCATCATTAATATTTCTCTCCCTCTTCCTTCCTCTCTGAAATCAATAAAAATATATTTAATATATATATATATATATATGTTTTTGAAAATCCATATGTCTTGATATAATGATGGCATATATTATTCTCTATACATATGTTATTTTTAAATACAGTTTTTGGAATTATGTTTCCCCCACTCAGCAAAATTCCTTCTATAAAACAACTCCAACTTAAGTTTTCCATAGTTCATTAAGGGTGAGGCTGGAAAGGGCAGGATTTCCACAACAGGGGGAATTCTGATGGCCTCAGCAAAATGCAGGGCATGGGTTCTGCTAGGAAATCTGAGTCTCATAAAGTTAAAGTACCTAAGTTAGGCCCATTTTGAGGAATGAGATTAATAGAATGAGGACTGCATTTACTGAAGATAAACCACCAGTAAAACATTTGATGATGAGAATGTCATTCTGGTCATGAAAATAAGCCTGTATTTATATTTTAGGTGATGGGTCTGTTATTCTGAATGGACTCTTGAGAATCCTCATATTAATTCCTTTTAAGTTTTTCATTTGCTCTTTGCATGATCTTTTACTGTCGATGATTTTGCATTTTCAGCAAGTGCTAGACTTTATTCATGATCTCTTCGGGCCTTTCACTGCGAAGATGTTTACTTGCTGTCTTACTGAGAAGATTAGAGCAGTATTGAAAATACATCGAATACTATTTAAAGATGACAGGGTTGTTAGGACATATTTGGCTTATTTTAGAATACCTTGCAAATAGTTGGTGCTCAAATATTTGCTATCTAGTCATACCTGTGGTATCATGGAAACTGTACTGTTAGCAGGCCCTGAAGTATTTGGTGATGTTTACTGTGGAATGGTGGTGGTGTGTGTGTTTAATCTATGTGTTCAATCAAACTTCCCTCCCAGAAAGGATTTTTAAGGTATTCAGACATGTTAAGTAACAAATGAAGACTTGGGATTAACAGTTATGTATATGGCTTGTACCAGTTTTAACTTGTTTTCTATAGTCTAAATGCCCCATAATGGGTTGGTAGATCTATTCAGTTGAAATACTAAACATTTGTAGTGACAGTTTGTCCATCTTTTGATCCTGTTTGTTTTAACTTGCATTTTAGTATGCAACCGAGGATGGACTTGTACACACAAATGACCAGGCCAGGACTCTACCCAAAGAATGGGTTTGTATTTAAGGGTCCCAGCAGTTAGACCACCCTCAGAAAAGAAGGTAAGGCTCTGTGATATGAAAGGTAAATTATAAAGGGCTAAACAAATAGAGGTCAAGAATCAGAAAGTGTTTTCTTAGGAATCAGGTGAGAAGTTTCCTCTTGTCTAGTGTGATGTAAGTGTGTCAGAAACACTGGAAGGGATGGAGACTGCAGTTAAGATTGTCATCTCAGTAGGTAGTATCTAAGCAACATTTATGGATAATAGTATCTTACCCGCCTATATAATAAAAGGGTAATATGCAAATTGACTGAATGGCGGAATGACCGATTGCTATGATTGCACTGACCACCAGGGGGCAGACGCTCAACTCAGGAGCTGCCCGCCCCCCCCCCCCCCCCCATGGTCAGTGCGCTCCCCTCAGTGAGCCTCTCCCGCCTCACGGCAGCACTAAGGATGTCTGACTACCGGCTTAAGCTGTCAGTTGTACATCCCCCGAGGGCTCCCAGACTGCGAGAGGGTGCAGGCTGGGCTGAGGGAGTCCCCGAGTGCATGAATTTTGTGCACTGGACCTCTAGTTTGGGATAAGGGGAAACCTTTCCATTTGGAAATTCTCTTGCTATATCTCATGTGGACTATTGGTTAGGATTTGCCTATTCTGGATATTTCGTATAAATGGAATTATATTTTGTACCTGGCTTCTTTCACTTCACATGTTTTTGAGGTTCATCTACGTTGTAGCATGTATCATTACTTTATACCTTTTTGTGGCTGAATAATATTTCATTGTACAGATATAACACATTTTGTTTATGCATTTATCCACTGATGGACATTTGTGCTGTTTCCATTTTCTGGCTATTGTGAATACTAGTACTGATGTTAGCATTTATGTACACATATTTAAGTACTTGTTTTTCATTTTGGGACTTATGTATCTATGAGTGGAATCACTAAGTCATTCTATTAAGTTAGGTATACTTTTTTTCCAGTTTCCTTTTTTAAAAATTGTGGTAAAATATACGTAATATAAAATTTATCATTTTTTAAGTTTACAGTTCTGTGGCATTAAGTACATTTCACATTGTTGTGTAAACATCGCTACTATCGAACTCCAGAACTTTTTTCTTTTCTCCAACTCTGTTTACCTTAAATAATAAATTCCCATTTCTCTCTTTCCCCAGCCCCTGGTTTCTCCCATTCTTCTTTCTGTTTTAATGCATTTGACTGTTCTGGTTACTTCATAAGTGGAATGACATAATATCTGTCCTTTCATGACTCGCTTTTCACTTAGCATAATATTTTTAAGGTTCATCTAGTTATAATTTAAATGTGATTTATTCCAAAATGATTGCAAGGTTTTTGTTGCATATCTTTTTCCTTTTCTAAAACTAAATCTAGAGGGAAGGAACCCTGATAAAGTTTCTTTGAAATTAGTTGGGTTGGTTTTTTTTTTTGTTTTTTCTTTTCCTGTTAATTATAGCCTTTTCTTGAAGGATGATACATTCTGGGTGAGGCTCCTCAAGAGGTGGAGTTGTAGGAACATGCTCAGGCAATGGTGTGGTTTATTTCTTTATTATTAGGTTTGCTGAAATTGACTTGCTGACATGTTGTTTTCAAATTTTGTCAACATTTTCATGGTTAAGGACCCTGTGGGCTTCAACCATATGGATTCTAAATTGAAATTGGGGTTGCCAATAAAATGTTATCCTTGAGAAGTCACAATTGGGGACTTACCCTCTTATTCTGAGGTTGTAGAGACTCCAGTTCTGAGTTGGAAGTGATAGATTCTCTGCCATTTTCAAAGAGGTTCCAGAAAGCATCATGCCCAAATACTTAGCAGTGGGACTATGGAGGATTTTCTAATGTAGTTCATAGTGTTAGGAACCCAGTAGTCTAGCCTGTGGATATTCATTTTGGTTCATACTTTGTCTTTCCAAATGTTCTTTATTCAAGCCCTTAATGCTATGAATTTGGTAAACCTACTATCTCTTGTAAAATTAGTATATTGAATAAGAAATGATTATAAAAGGAACTTTTTGATGTTACATTAGAAATGTTCTAAATTGACTTTTGGTGTATAGGAGGATGCTCTCACCAACTGAGCCACACCGGCTACGCAGTGTTTTTATTTTAAAGTTTTTGTGTGGTGTATAACTGAAATATTATAGTGGAACCAATATTGTGTTCAGATTCTCAATCTGCCAATTATTCAGCATCTATAGGATTAATTGCTCTGTGCCTCAATTTTCTCATCTGTGAAATAGGGAAAACATGGTAATCTAATAGGGTAGTTGTGAGGGTAAAATAACCCAACTAAAGGTTCCTAATCAACTACATGCTAGTCTTTGGCATGTAGAGCTCATGTTTGCTGCTGTGTCATGCCTCCGTGCTTCTTATTGATTCAGATATTTTTGTTTGAAATTAATGGTTTTATTTCTTTTAATAATGATATTAAGTGTCTAAAATCAGAGGGATGCCGTCATAACTTGGGGACCCAGGCTAAGGAGTGAATAGAATAGTCTCTCCACAAAGGAGTTGAGTCAAGTAGGGAGATGGAAACATACACAGTATTCTATGCATGATAATACAAAGGGTAGGAAATTGCTGAAATGCAAATTATCACATAACCTTCATTTGCCTATGCTGTACTCCCCAAGAATTTGCTGTATAAATGCCAACTATGTGAACTACCTTAAGGCTTTTTTAGAGCTTTTAGAATTGAAAATTATTATGTTTTTATAGCTTGCTAAGAATTAAAAATTTTAGAGACTATAATATTTCCTTTTATTCGTTTTTCCCCCCAGTGTTTGAAAGATGTATGGTGATCCTGAAACCATCAGACACCTCATCAACTTCAAGCAACTTCAGGGGAAGTTTGTCTACACTCAGGCTGCAGTATTTTCAGCAAACATGATTGGACAGTGGGCCTGTGCCCTATCTTTTGGTGGAGTGGAAAATTTGAGCCAGTGAAGCCAAATCCTTCTAGAAGCAGAATGCCTGGCTCCTTGCTGATTGCATTTAAAATGTGAAATGGAAATTGGATGTCTCCATTACTTCCAGCCAACGCAGCATCATAGGTGTTTCTTAAGTTTCATGCCTTGGGAGGAAAAATACTCCACTTACATGTCTACCATCTCCACCAAAAACTCTGTTATGCAAACTTCATTTTTGTGTGTTCCCACTCTTCTCTCCATCTCCCTACTTTCTACACAATCATGTCCTCTTACTAAGTAATTCAAGAAAAAGGTCTTGGAATACTTAAATCACAAACTTAGAAATAAAACTGATATTTTCTTAGTTTCCTGGCCATGATGATATCTCATAGTTAAAAAAAAAAAAAAAACACAATGAAAACAATTTTAAAATAACTTGGGATAGCGCAGCCACCACAAAACATACATAGTTTAAAAGTGGGATCTTTTTTCCCAGCAGATACCAGTTGTAAATAAGAATGAACTCTAGGGGCCAAAATGCAAAACCAAAAATGAAGCAGCTACATGTAGTTGGTAATTTCTAGTTTGATCTGTAACTGAACATTGTGGCTTTATATGTATTATTTTATATTGTACTTTTCCCATTGTTGATGGTTTGGACTTGAATAAGAGTAATTCCATAGTTTTAAATATGACGAAAATGAGAATATTTGGACAGTGTGTTCTGGAAAGCAATGTGCTCACTGAAGTGAATGCTTGTATATATTAAGATAGCCTTAAACCTTCTCTAATGCCTTAACTATCCAACAATAAAACTTTTAAAGCCTAGGATTATAGTCAGCATGCTAGACTGAGAGGTAAACACTGGTGTGGTTAGAGCAGGTACTGATGCTGTCAGTATTTAGCACTATGTGTTTAGCTGTGTTTATGCTAGCTACAAAAGTGCAATATTAGACACTAGCTAGCTAGTACTGCTGCCTCATGGAACTCCAAAGAGGAAAACAGGATTTGATGAACTCAGTGCACGTCTCTTTAAGTTACTCACGTCCTTTGCTTGAATGCAATGCCATGCAGATTTTCGTGGCTGCTAATTTTTATTTACTTTGCATTATGTTGACTAACGCTTGGAGAACCAAACATCCCTTCTGACCAGGAATAGCCCTTTAACTGCAGTAAGAAAAAATAAAAATAAAAAACAAAACCATTTTGTGTGAATATTGGTGATAACTGGCACTTAAGATCAGAAAACAGTTCTTTATACTTGATGCCTTAAGATGCAGTCTGCCCAAAGTTCTGAAAGACTGATAGGCAAGTAATGCTACAATACTACTACTGAGTTTTTGTAGAATATTTACATTTGATAATAAAACTCACCTGTTTAATCTCAATGTTTCCATTCTTTTTTTGTTATTAGAAGAGCTATAATGGTCGAAGGGCATTGGGTCAGCCATCTTTTCCTGAGGTGGTAAGATTTTTCCCTAAGTTTACCATAAGTATTTATAAAAACCTCAGTGGATAGGGCGTCGGTCTGTGGACTGAAGGGTCCCAGGTTCTATTCCAGTCAAGGGCATGTACCTTGGTTTCGGGCACATCCCCAGTAGGGGGTGTGCAGGAGGCAGCTGGTCGATGTTTCTAACTCTATCTCTCTCCCTTCCTCTGTAAAAAATCAATAAAACATATTTTTTTAAAAAACTATTAATGATAAATGCACTCCAGAAACAGTACAACCATCCCTAGAGAGTTAATTATTGAAACTTTTTGACTTTTTAAAAAAATATATTTTTATTGATTTTAGAGAGTAAGAGAGAGGGATAGAGTTTGAAACATCAATGATGAAAGAGAATCATTGATTGGCTGCCTCCTGCACGCCACCTACTGGGGATTGAGCCTGCAACCCAGGTATGTGCCCTTAGCCCGGAATCAAACCTGGGACGCTTCAGTCCGCAGACAGACACTCTATGCACTGAGCCAAACCGGCCAGGGCTTTGGTGACATTTAACTGTTGTGGAAGTCAGAGATATTAATATTTGGTCCTTGCATTTACTGGAGCTCTAGTTACTTGACGACTTGAAAACCTGTTTAAGCCACATAAAAGTAATACAATCTAGAACTTTAGTGTTTCTGAATTTCACATACTTATTTTTTCTAATCACTCTTCTTGCTGATGCTAAGTTCTCCAATATTGTCTCGTCCAAATTCTATCCATTTTGGGGGGCTATGGTACAGTCTTGACCGACTTCTTCCATTTCAGAGCTATATATATTGCCATTATCACTTATTTGACATATACTCTTGTTAAAGCGCTCAAGTGTATCAATTCTGAATTTCTATTATAACCATAAGGGCAGGAAGTATACCTGTATGTCACTCAAATGTCTGTTCGCTCAGTTTGCCGTTATTAAGCGCTCACTGAATAGAGTTTAATTTACCCAGGAAAGTTTTTCACTCCCAGTCTTTGCCAATGTCATTTACAAAAATGGGACCATTGCTTTCAGGTTTGTATTTCGGCTTTGGGTCTCTGCCGTTATCTGCAAGGAGGTGGCAGAGTTCGATAGGCAAGCTGAGCTGACGCGTGCAGGCATTTAATGTCCCGGCTCTTCCCTGCCTTCACCAAAAACAGTTGCCTGAGTTAAACTGGTTTCCCTATTTAGCTCCCTGAAATAGAACTTCGGTAGCTGCTCTTCTCATGGAAGAAAAGAATAATGGGCAGTCAGGAGGCTGTTGAGTAAGGGTAATGGGGAAGGAAGAGAGAATGAGAGTAAAGAGGATCAGACTATATAAAAGACTTTCAAGATCCAGCTCTTAGACCTAGCCGGTTTGACTCAGTGGGTAGAGCGTCAGCCTGCAGACTGAAGGGTCTTGGGTTCAATTCCAATCAAGTGCATGTTCCTGGGTTGCAGGCTTGATCCCAGGCCAGGGAGGCAACCAATTGATGTGTCTCTCTCACATCGATGTTACTCTGTCTCTCCCCTTCCCACTCTCTAAAAATCAATGGGAAAAATATCCGTGGGTGAGAATTAACAAAATTAAAAACCCACCTCTTAGGCTTATAGTTAATTACACAATTTCTTCCTGGTCACATTTTTTGGCCATGAATGTCAGCGTAGAAGAATGGTGAATTGGCCCTGGCTGGTTTGGCTCAATGGATAGAGTGCTGGCCTGTGGACTGAAGGGTCCCAGGTTCGATTCCGGTCAAGGGCAGATACCCAGGTTGCAGGCTAAATCCCCAGTGGGGGGCATGCAGGATGCAGCCGATCAATGATTTGCTCTCATCACTGATGTTTCTATCTCTCCCTCTCCCTCTCTGAAATCAACAAATTTTATATATATAGTGGTGAATTGAGTAGGAATGGTAGAAACAAACTCCTAGGACCACCCTGTGGTCGATGTGAAGATCATCAAGGCATAACCTGGTAGTCTTGCTGCTCTCTTTGCTGAAAGGTCCCAGCGAATCAGCTTCCAGATAATTTGGAATAAACTTCATTTCGGCCTTGCTAATTACGGAGCTAAGGAGACCTTGGGTCTTCAGTGAGTTAGAAATGGAGTGTGTTTTTATTTTATTTTTAGAAAAAAAATCTTTTTAATTTTAGAGAGAGAGAAATATTAATGTAAGAGAGAAACAGATCAGCTGCTTCCCACATGCACCCTGAACACTGAACCCACCACCTTTCACTGTATGGGACAACACTCCAACCCACTAGGCCACACTGGCCAGGGCAGATGGAAGTGTATTTTAATAGGATGCTAATTTTCTCCTTTCAGAGCCTAGGTGGACAGAGCATTTGCAGAAATGCCCACACATGATTGTGCACAGGTTACTGCCCACTGCAGATGCCTCATGCTGCTCTTGTGTGTTGTGATATACTCGGAACAAAATGAAGCCAAAGCCATCATTTTCAGTGCCCAACCAAACTTCTTTTTGTGGAGATTTATATTGTGGACTACACTGCAGTTTTTGGTGGATGACAGTCACAACATTCAAAATCAAGTAGTATCTACTGGCCTTCTGAACTCTGTGCACACCTTATTTTAGTCTCCTACACTTGTTCTTCCTGGAATGTCTGCATCTCTCTACATTAATGCAATTTCCCTCTCAAAATTAAAGATACACTGCCGTTTCTGACACTTACACATCCCACGCAAAGCCTCATTGGACTTTTTTTTGCTAAATGAAAAATGCATTCAACAATCAAGTTTCTAAGAAGGTGTTAAGTGGGGAAAGATAATGTGTAATAATCAAGAAATGAATTTATGCCCTAGCTAGTTTGGCTCAGTGGGGAGAGCGTCAGCCTGTGGACTGAAGGGTCCCGGGTTCGATTCCGGTCAAGGGCACATGCCCAGGTTTCGGGCTCCGTCCCGGGTGGGGGGTGTGCAGGAGGCAGCCGATCAATGATTCTCTCATCAGTTAATGTTTCTCTCTCTCCCTCTCCTTTCCTCTCTGAAATCAATGAAAATATATATATATTTTTTTTAAAAAATGAATTTACTAAAAGGAAACAGAAACATTGACCATTTTTTCCTCAGGAAGGAGTAGAAATCTGTGGTGACCGTAACAGACTATGAAGTCTCTTTAAAAAACAGTATTCTCATAAAAGAAGAATCAAGTTTTTTTTTAAGCTCTAACACTAGAGAAACAGGAAGATTTTATATGTTGTATGTGTTGTTTTTTTTACGTTTTTTACCTAAAGATTGAATAATATCTCTTTCATATTTCTGTAAAAAGCTATTTCTTCTCTTTATCCACTACTGTATAGAGCAGGCAAATTTATAATTAAGTCCATCAGTCATCCTGGTGATGGTGAAGGAACAACAGAAGGAATGGACATCACCTCAAGACCCTCAACTTGAGTGGTCCTCATTGGTCACTGTATTGTTCTCCCATGAAGTGGAGCTTTTGCAGAAGCTCTTCTAGTAATCAGGGCACTGGTATCTTCTGCCAGATCTTGCAGTTTTCAAGGTCCATACATTGTGTTTTCTCTGGCCCACAAGTACCTGCCATGGTATTTCTAACTCGTGTCCAATGTTGCTGGTCAGCAAGACCTATGTAGAGGCAACCAAAAGCATAAAGAGTTCCTGGAACGGTTTTTGCACAGTATTGAAAACAGACAGCTGCTCCCCAAACATCCTCACTTAACAAAGGTGCTATTAGGAGACTCTTGCTGCCTGCTAAGAATGGGGCATCCATAATTACCCTAGACCAGTGAATTCTATTCCTTTTTTGCTCTTGTTCTAAAATGGGCATTTGGTCAGTTTCTAAATTTATTTAGAAGTACTGTTAGAGGAAAGGTCCTGGTATTTGTTTATAAGAATGTCATCTCTATATATAAAAGCCTAAGCGACCAAGCTACCCAATGGTGGTGGACTGGTCCCTATGACGTGCACTGACCACCAGGGGGCAGACACTCAATGCAGGAGCTGCCCCCTGGTGGTCAGTGCCTCCCACA